AGTGCACTGAAAACCAAAGGAAGACACATGTTATATATAAAAACATCGCCCTTTTATACATAAAACACTATTTCAAGTAAAACACACATTTTTGTCCCAGACATCCTTACAATTCTACAGCAAGCCAGGGCTGTATGCAGTGTCTCTTGCAGGCTTATGTCGCTTTGCAAGTGTTGCCTTTGTTGAACTGCTCGGCAGGTGCTCCCTCCGCGATTTGTGATCCGACGTCGTGTCGACACGACCTTTAATGGTTCCAGTAGTGCCGGATGACGATCCGCTGACGTGATGATCCGACGAAGTGCTGCAGCTGGGCCAAATAGAGTGCACCGCTTCGGCAGGCATTCGCGCCAGCGAATCGTCGTCTGAATGTGCTGCCTCGGCAATAACAGGCACTTGCGCCAGCGAGTCGTCGTCTGAATGTGCTGCCTCCGCAATAACAGGCATTTCCGACAGCCCGTTGTCGTCAGAATGCGCTGCCTCGGCCATCTCCGGCGTTCTCGGCGGCGCGCAGGCCGCTCCCTTCTGCCGCGCATTCCACGCTCGCTTTCGTTCAGGCGAGCTTCCCAAGCCATGCCGGCGAAATGCAGAAAGACGTGTACGTTGGCGACGTCGGTACACGAGCGGGTAGCAGACGAGATAACACGCACGAGAGCAGGCGCCGACGGAGCAAAACCAAAAAAAAAAAAAAAAAAGAGCGAGCAACCGTGGCCGCGCCGCCGCGCCAGCCAATGGTAAGCGCGAGACGGGGGGGCTCGCCGGCGCGCCACGCTCTAGCCAATCAGCGGTCCGGCAGACGGCTTCGCAAAACCGGGGAGGGCAGTCGTTGTGTTGGAGCTACGCCATTTTGAGAGCCCGCAAAAAGCGCACAAAGGAACGAGCTTCAAAACAAGCCCAAGATGGCGCCGATCCGCCGGCTGCTTCACTGGCGGCGCGCGGGAAGTTCGAACAAATTTTCTGTTTTGCGGGTTGTTTTGCGACTCCCGTGATGGTTTGAAAATAGATTTTAACCTATTTTTTTATCGAATTTAGCGTTAATAATTTGAGGAGAGGTGCTTATAGGTTCAAAGATTCGAAAAATGTGTTTTTCTCAAAATCGATTTTTTGGCCATTTTTTACTTTTCTAAGACCCGCGTCCCCCCTTAACAGTGCACTAAGGGATGAGGCCAAAGAAAAGAAGGTGCACAACACAGCCACAACACAGGCGCCCATGTTGTGCACCTTCTTTTCATAGTCCTCGTCCCTTAGCGCGCTATTAAAACCAAGATGAAGGTCTCGCGGCTGTATGTTTTCAAGTTACTTGCATCATGAACCAAGTGCTTTGTTTCACCTTTATGTCCAATAAATTTTTTTCTCTTTGTGAATGCTGTCTTCATTGCTTCGTTCAGCCTACATTTGAGGTAAGTTTTTTTTTTTTAGTGAAAGCTGGCATTAGATCAAAACTCCGGTCACGCACAATTGCTTGCCGCCGCCGCCGGTGTCCGTAACTGCATTATGCGAAATTCGAAAAAAAAACCTAGCCTCAATGACACACACAGTGGGGCTCAAACCCGGTATAAGACCAGTCACTTCTGTGTAGCTTATGCGAACAAGTGCCATGAATCACGATAGGCGAGAAAATCACGCAGGCACCGTATAGTAATGTCACAAACAGTCCCAAAGGCATTAAAAATCCGAGACGAAGAATTTCATGTGCACATCACGGGCCACAAGCGAAAGGTTGGCGGGCCATGTGTGTGAGACCCCTGCCTTAGCTGTGCCAATAGCAAACTTGCGGCTGCAAAGCGAATTTGAATATTCAAGTGTCATGGCTATGTGGATTGCATATCTTTAAAATATTTATCAAATATTTTTCAAATATAGTTAGAAGCAAAATTCAAATAGCAAGATGCTATTTCCTTCTCCTCTTTCAACTTCTCTGGATGCCTAACCCAAGTGGCAGATGACGTTGTGCTCCCTTCAAGTTAGGAGTTCCAAATCTGCCTTGTAGACATCAACATACAAAAACATTTGAAATTTGGGATACAAAAAAAATCATTGGCGTCCAATTTTTCAGACTTCCTGCCTGAATTTCAGCTCTAACGGAGCATTAACTGAGCCCATACCTCTGCCACATATATAATCTCAATGTTGGAACTAGCATTTTCTTGAGTCAATGCATAAGCGACCATAATGAAGCCTGAAAGAAAGCTTTACTGCAATACGAGAGTGTGACGATGCAAAGCATTTAAAATCAGGAGAGGCGACTTTCAATTTGCTTTTTCCATCTTCCTGTGCTGCCCTCTGGCATATTGATAGGCGTTGGCAGGGGCCTGGAGAACTGGCATAGCTAGAACGAATGCCTCCGAGACCAGGAGTTGTTTTATGACTTCTCAGATAGGGAAGGGCGCATGCGCTGTGTAATTGCGGAAAAGGTGGATTAGACGTTGACATTGTTTTTGAAAAGTTTGACCGTAGCGGAGACTGAAAGCCAGCTTTGCCACAATACAACACTGTTGTAACGTGAAGCATAATAAAGACCTGAAGACGTCACTTTCAGTCGCGTGTTGAGGTGCATTTGTCTTTGGGAACTTTGAATAGTAAAAATTCCATTGCAAAATAATTATCAAAGAGTATTAAAAATAATCAAAATTTTGAATATTTTCACACCTCCAATTAAACCCTAACACCTCAAATAAAACAGAACTGCAATATAATTCAACATATAGATAAGTGCTAACACAGAATAAGCCCTTCTGGAGGTACTATTACCTCTGCAATGTCTCTCGAAATTATAAAAGGTGATTATTTTACTATTTCTTCTTTTAAAGCTGTGTCAAAGGCATCACAGTAAATCTTTATTCCTCACACAAACTTGCTTTTCGAATGCATGAACAGTGGAAATTTTGCATTCTACAAACAGTGTGGTTGTGCTCCCTATGAATTAGAAGTTCAGAATATGCCTTGTAGACGTCAACATACAAGAACATTTGAAATACTGGATGCTAAAAATCTTCCGTGTCCCGGACTGACGAGATTTTTCATTCTAGAAGCAGTGTGGTATTGTATTTTCATCAACGAATGTCAGAAGGTATACTGTAAATGCTGAGTGAAGAGTAAACCAACTATGTTTGCAGGGGGCACTTGGTCAGTGCTGGACTGAAATTAAAGCTGACTGCGGGAGAGCAGCAAAAAATTTAAAAATGCCAATCTATGTTTCTAATCAGATGCTTTATTTATTTACAAGACAAGAGAATTTCATAAACAACATTATATATGCATACACCTGTTCTTGTGGTTCTTTTTACACAAACGATGCTGGTCCCAAAAAAAAAAAAAGTGCCCACATGAGAGAAGAGGGGAACTTTTTCAGTCTTTGACGCTTATTTCAGATCTCTCGAAAATGGAAGGGGGCACTTGCTGGGCATTTTAGGTCAGTGGTATGCTTTACTGCAGGGTAATTAACTATTTCCATCAGTGTTATTCACTGCATTAACAAGCTGCCTTGTGGTGGACCAATCTGCTATGAAAAGTGATTTCGCACAGGTGGGTGGAATAAAACACTTTCTTTACAAAGAATAAAAAAAGGTGGTGGCACTTGGCTACACTTGTGTAGAGAGTGTAGGCAACAAAAAATTTCCTCAGTTTAACAAAAAAGCATCAAGAGCAAGATTTTATGTCTTTGCTACATAATATTGCAAGGAAGGACCCGCACGTTCACCACAAATATGTTACGTAAAATGAGACGGGACGTGAATATTTGCCAGAGTATTGACACCGATGAAATCGGAGCGCAGCACAGAGCGGGCAACCCAGTCCTCTTCGTCATCCTCTGTCCACAGAATGGTTCACCCTTCATGCGATAGCTACGTAGCAATATATTATACCTGTACCATGACCCCTTACCTACCATGGCAACTGCGTAAGTTTTTTTTTTTTTTTTCAAAGCTTTTCAAGCACTGGTGTAGTGCTGTGGTAGAACAATGGACCACTGCACAGAATACTTGGAGTCAATTCTGGCTTGAACTTTAATTTTCATCAGATTTCTATTAAACTTACTAAGATCGCCTGGGTTTTCGCACCACATGCCACATTATTTAAGGTTAGCACTCCAGGCTTCTAGTTAGATGTGAACATTGTGAGGGTGCTGACACCCCCCCTGTAAAGTTGTCTGTGCCGTGTGGCGCACGTGTCTCGCCCCAAGGCCGCATTTCGGGTGACGACCGCCGGGTGATAGATGGCGTTGTGTTCGCGTTGAGTACCACTGTTGGTAGAGTGGTAGCGCCAGCGGTGACCCCTGGCAGAGGCGAGCCTTGGTGGCGGGCGAGAGTTGAGGGAGCCTCTTCTGCGCGCGGCGGCTGCCGCAAACGGTTGTCTCTTGCGGTGGGTCTGCCGTGGACGGCACCGCGGGCCGCCTGCGGTAGGCCCACGTGGTGAGTCAAGCGTTGGCGACGCCGCGTTGGGTGTGTTAGTTTGTTTGTCATGTTGTGTGCTCTTGTGTTATATTGTTTGAGTGTTTGGTACTTTGGTGTAATGATGACTTAGCGTGTTGTTAACGATTGATGTACCGATTCGGCGGACGATATCGTCGTTCAAAAGTAGTTGAATAAATGTATGTTGTTTGGTTTGTACCGACCGCGTCTTCTGTGTCTATTCACTCCAAGAGCGTGGCGTGGTGCTCGCTCGCTACGTCGAGGCCCCACCACAGAATGCCTATACACTACCACCCCACAACATCAAGAGACAAAAGGCAGATTGCCGATGAGGCAATCAGGAGTTTAAAAAAAAGAAAAACTGTTTTTGTAACAGATGGCAGAAATGCCTTCACATATACTGACTCAGCTCCAGTCTCACTGACATATAAAAGTTCATTGTTTGGCATGTTGGCATGCTGTGACGGAAATTGACATCTGGGTAAGGAATCCTGCTGAGCCTTAATGTTGCTGGAGCAGCCCATAAATGATCGATTCCTACGTGCATGACATGCTGCATCACTCGACACATCTTTGTTACGTGCTGCTCACCCGGAAAGAGATCTCCAGGTTCTCGCCACCCCAGATGTCCATGCCATCATCGTACTCGCCCAGCTCGTGGAAGTACCGTCGATCCATGGCAAACAGGCCGCCAGCCATGGTTGGTGAACTGCACGAAGGCGTATGAGCCAGCTTCACATTCCGTACAAGAAGACAAAAAACTTGGCCACTGGCTGCACTCATGTAAGATCTGCAATGACCAAGTCTGCAATAAGCCTTGGTGCTTTGATAGGTGGATAGCAAAATCATAGCTCACGCAAAGGATTGTGGGCAACGGCGCCCGTTTGCATCGACTTCCGGTTCGAGATGCCGTGCCGCCGTATGTGCATTCTTGCCAGTGCTGACGCTTTCTGCGAGTTCCACCCAGAACTCACGCTGCCCCTTTTTCACAAATTGCTGCATAATGCTTTGGAGAGCAATGCCATTTAGTTTAATAATAAATGCACTCACTATGAGACAGTTATAACTTTGCGAGCATTCATTTCTTCATTTAACCGGCAAGCACCTCCAGACACATGCTTTTTGTTTTGCTGTACAAGGTGTTATCGTGTCTCTTTTGCCGTATACAATCATTTTCACGAAACATTTGTCCATTTGTTTTTATGCTGATTACCCACCAAATTATTTATTTTCTATTGTGTTACAAAGACAACATCCCCGGTTCAATATAGTAAATGGCAATAGTAAACTGTTTCTTACATTAAAAAATAAAATTTGCCCATAGTTTGCTTGCTTTTTTACACCTTTCCATCTTGCTAACGAGAGATCTCTTTCCCTCATGCACTCAAACATTGTGTTTGAATATATGCGAAATTCTCTCTGCACAACATACATAACAAAGCCTATCCACACTTTATGCTTGCAAGTCTGACACAATAAAGACACCATACCATGCTACTTTTTGTATTAAAATCTACTTCGATCGTTTCACGTTCCACGATACCATTATTAGAGCGTTCGTTTTGTCCTGTGGGGCTTTAATGCATTGAGCGGTTTCCATAAATTTTACAGAGTTCTCATACTTATGTTGCCGTCGAACATAAGTTGACATTTAGCAGCATGTGCCCATAAGTGTGAGTTACTTTGAAGTGGTCACCGTTTGTGCTCGAAAATAATGAATCGAGGTGGTTCTGCAAAAGATTACGGCATGCATCAAAGCATATTAGCATTATGTGTTTGAAACGCGCCTCTTACTGTTGTTGGCATTTGCCCATCTCCGCTTCTCGCTTCATTCTCTGAAATGCGCAAAATAATGTCTATCCATTTGCAAATAAAAAAAAGAACATAATCACTGAATAAGCGGCAACAAACGCATCACAGAATTTCACGTTTCCTCCCCGATCACACTGTGGAGTATGCACCTTGAAGCAGCAAAGGGATAAGGCTCGAACCGTAAGTACCATGGCAGACAACGCACCATTTTGCTATTCACCCATTCCAGCTACACCGTACATGCAGCATGTCTACTTGAATGGAAATTGTTTTAAACTATGGTGAATGCAGAGTGACAGACAAGCAAAGTTCTTCTCACAAGAAATAACATGATTATAAACATAAACCATAATAACAGCAGCAGGATGACATGCTGTGCACTGAGTTGTCACTGCCAGCTGCAACATATCAATTGCCCACTAACTTCTTCAATACGCAGTATCACAGTCGCTGGATAAAAAAGAAGGGGCGGTCTGTTGCAACAATTCGCCATCAATGGGCGAGCGACAACACTTTGTGTTACAATGTAGTTGCATGAGGACTTGTGCGTGATCGTGTGCTTTTTCATGTGCTTTCTCGTGCTTTTTTTTGTGTGCAATCGTGTGTGGCGGGCAGTTTGCCCCATGTTTCCTGTGCTCGAGTACGATTTTTCAGTGTGCGCATGTGGCAGACGTTTTTTTTAGTGGTGTGACGTCTCGAAGCTGTTGTGTGCTGCTGAGCAGCTCGAACATGAAAAAAGATGCCACTGTGAAATACAACGTATTCCCCTGCACTCTACAGTGTGGAAACGCGTATGGGGATGTGCATGATTCATAACAGAGCACTTACTTTTGTCACAAATGAGTGCTGAATCAGACGTGCGCCGCCACCTCCAGACAACAGCATCAAATCACCGTGCCAACTTCACAGGCGCACGCAACGTAACAAGAAAACAAGTATCAAAAGGCGTCCAGGGCACGCCCTTGCCCTCTACACACGCGATAGCCACACAGATTGGGAGAAATTGCGACATTAAAGCGGGGCCTCTATTGGGGCAACTGTTTTCGCAGACGAACCGGCGATACAAAATCCTTTCTCCTGGTTGTCTCCGTGGTACATGCTACACGCCGTTCAATTATTTAGAATGTTCCAAAACGGGGAAGGATGCAAACTAGTGGTGACGGAGGGTAGGATGGGTGGTAAACTAGGTCAAAAAGAAGTGATGTTAAAGCGGTCTGAGTGAGCTGTGTAGTGCGGTCAGTCGATTTTGAAGAATCAACTGATGCCATTATGGAAATACTGTTTTGAAGAGTGTCACCGAGATGAAGCTCAGTTTGCTTCAGTGTTTCCTTAAAGAGGAATATTCGGAGAACCATTCGAATAATTGAGAAGTGCACATATGTGGTGAATATTGAAGGCCTGTAAGTGTTTTTGCACAGTTTTTAATATGTGAGATCGCATTTGTAGCACAGTAAGTTCATTCCCATTGTTTTAAATACCCTCTAAGTGATTTAGTGAGTTGTAATTGATACCTGCCAAGTGTGCAAGTTTGTGTGATGCTCGTACTGCCGTTACTAAGAATATGTTTTGTTTGTGTTGCAAAATCTTGGTTTTAACCCGGTCTTTGGACCACAACCGACGCTGCTTGTGCACTAGAAGGACCTACATTTAAATTGTGCGTACTTTCGCGGTGCGTTTTGGTGGGCCGATACGTCTGCTCTTGGAATCAGCTCGGCGATGACCTCCCCATGAACAGTGATCCTTTTCATTTCAGGTGAGTCAAATAGGCAGCATTCATGGAAAGTATTGAGGCCCACTTTACAGAAGATTGGCCCTCCTAGCACAAACTTTATACATATGAGGTGTAATAAGTACTTCTAATGATAATTCAGAATCGAATCTGTGATTTACAACTACAAAAGGGCTTATTTACGGCCGTATAGGAGTCACTGTCACACATAGCAATACATGCGAAAGCGTTTTTCCTGGGATGTGTTCTGGCACCAGAGCAGGAGCAAGGTGAACTGTGCCCGGGACGCCGCTTTGGTGGCACGCAACAGGTCACAATGGTCGCACCGGGGCAGTACACTGAAATGTTGACATGCCCATATAGACCAAGCTCTTGCGAGAATCCAGAATTGAGCGGTCAAGGTGCCAAATGAATCTTGAAACTCTCTATATGGCACACCCGTGCCCAGTAAAGCAGGTGACACTCACAGTACAATCACAGGAGCTACAATATTCATTGATACTCTGCTCTGCAGGTGAAATTCATCAGCATTTATCCAAGACATATAGTACACACTGCCTGTGTCTAGCGATAACGCATGTAACAGTTTCAACCAGTGAAACCTCTACACAATGAAAATGAAGACAATCCTTTTCCCCCCTCACTGTCTTTGCAGTTGCCCTATCCTCCTTCAATTAGATTGTAGGAAAGTGCACGAAGGTAAGCGAATCAGGTTAAGCCTTCAAGAAGACTTGTCGAAACAGTTCAAAACCCCTGTTCACAGATTTCTTCACTGAAAACAAGACGACACACTGCTGATAATGGTGGTGTCTGTTTTTAAACATTAGCCATGCATCTGTTGAAAGAATGGTTGAATAAAATGCACACTAGCCAACTAAACAGAACACAAAATAAGAAAATCATTGTTTTTGCGACCTATATGCTGCTCGCAATGATTGAAAGCGTGGCAGTCTTTATTGTACATGTACTGAAAGATGCAACGTGCTTGTGTACACCTCAGGGAGTGGACCCTATGTTCAATTTATCATGGTAGTAAATTGTATGCAGAAATACAAATAAATAACAGAAACGAAACTTGACTTTTTGAGGTGAAACGAAACTAAAATCAAAACAAAAACGTTTCATTTTGACCCCCTGGCTCTGTTTACCAAGTGGCAACCTAAACTTTTCACTTTTCATGGAATTGTACATTCAACAATTATTTTGTTGCTTTACAACTTCTACTACATTTTTTAAAAAACACTTCACTATGCATTATTTGGTATGCTGCAATGAAGGCTGGAGTACTTTTAAAACTGGCAAAAGCTTTGTTTCCGAGACATAAAAAGTAGCCATTTTCAGCAGTAATAAGGCTGTTATGTGAAGTGATGGGGCTTCAGATAACAGCCAGACAGACAAAAGCTGCATGTGAGTATTCGCTGGTCAAATGCACGTACTCTCATTTATTTCCCTGCAGTATTCAGTCATACGGCACTTATTGGATCAGTGGTCAACCCTCGTGCCCTCGGGTGTAAAAAATAGCAAGGGGGAGGGGGCAGTACAAACGCTGACGTTGTTTTTAAAGTCAAAGCTGTTAAGAGATCACAACAGGGGCTGCGTGTGTCCTAATTGTTCGCCGCCACTGCCACCACCAGTGTCTGCAAGTACTATCGCGCAAAATAGAAAAAAAAAATTCAGCAAATAAAGAACACCAAAGACACAATGGGATTCGAACCAGGGTCCCCTGCGTTCCAGCCCAGTATTCTACTACAAAGCCATGCCGGTGCTCGAAACTTCATTGCAAACTGGCCTTAGGCAGGCTTGATGTCGGGGAAAAAATCGCATTTGAGTAATAAAGCCTTTTGGAACAGCAAAGAAAAAACCAGGTCCATAGAATTGCATAATGAGTGCATATTGAGGGCTTATTTACGGCCGTATAGGAGTCACTGCCACGCATAGTCATCAAGCATAAATCGACATCGTCGTCAGCCACAGCATCAAAACAATTACACAAAATTTTTCGCAAGTATGCAGCTGGTACCACACTTCTCGGAAAAATGATGAAGGATGGCACAGCAGAATGCCTCCCTACTACACAATAATTATGATGATTTATGGTGTAGTGGGTATCCTGCAAGTGTGATTATAGCAGTTGCACAAAGAGTGTTTAAAAAAGGCTTTGAAAGGCC